AAAGGATTTACTGGAGAGCCGTGGGGGAAACGCAAGTAACCGGCCGAGAAGGGAATTGATTGCCGACCTAAACGAGTTGGATCTAAGCTTCACTATGGCAGAACCGACGGTAACCCCCAGCGATGAAAAGACGAGGATTGTCCGGGAAAGGCTGCCTCTATACGGGCCGAACCCCTCCGTAGAGCTGGTGCAGCAACTGATGGCAGAAGCCGAGGCGGACATACAGCGGGCACGAGCCCACGAGCTGAACCTGGTGACCGCACAGCAAGGGGGCACCGTTAATAGCCACACGGGCTCCCCGGAGACTACAGAATAGCCGAAAATTCCGTTTGCGGCATTCAAGCCGTTCGCGGAAAACGAGATGGGGATAGATGAATTTTTGGCAGATTTCGAAAGACAGTGTGCTCTGCATCAGATCCCTGTTTCAGCGTGGCCACTTATCCTGGCAGGAAAGTTAACCGGGCGGGCCATGGAAGCTTTCAGGACACTCAGCGCCGAAGAGGTAGCCCAGTATCCCACAGTGAAGGAGACGCTACTAAAGCGGTACGCTGTGACCCCAGACACTTACAGAAGGCAGTTCCGCAACACAAAGAAAAAAGTGAATGACACACATGCCGAATGGGCACACCGCATGCGGAGAGCTGCTACCCACTGGATTACCAGGTGTCGGGCCGTCACAGCCACGGAAATATTGGAACTTTTCTTGTTAGAACATTTTTATGAGGGTCTGGAACAAAAAGACCGGGAGTGGTTGAAGGACCGGCGTCCCGCTAACCTACATGAAGCAGCCCGGTTGGCAGACGAACACCGGGATGCGCAAGTACAGGAGTTCAGTACTGCCCGAACGATAACTCACCCCGAAGCAAGAGAGGGGTACCGACCATCTCCACGAAGGGAGTTTCGCAACCCTGTACCCGCAGGTCCTACACGGTACACGGGGCCACCCAGCCACTACCCTCAGGAACGCTCCCGACCCACATGTTATAAGTGCAAGCAACCGGGGCACCTGATAGCGAGTTGCCCCCTCAACAACAATTACCCCGCACGGAACTATAACTCCTCTCCAACGGGAAACAATCGTCCCGCTCGAGCGTTTTGCCTGGAACAAGACAGCCCTTTAGAAGAGTACCTGGGACCCCTACATGAAGCTAATCCTGTGTATGCTGCCAGTGACAATAGACAACACCACCGGCAAGAGGTACTGCTAGAGGGTCGTCCCACACAGGGGTTAAGAGACACCGGGGCCACGATCACCTTAGTACAAAGCCGGTTAGTTCCCGAATACAAAGCTCTCCTGACACAGTGGCTGTCCGGGTGGCTGGCGGGGACATATACAAACTACCCACAGCAAAGGTACACTTGGATTGGGGTGCGGGAAAGGGACTTGTGAGGGTGGGAATTATGGATAATTTGCCAGCCGAAGTTTTGCTAGGAAACGACCTGGGACCTATGACTTCAGCTTATGCCCCTTCTTACAACGCTGAGGCACATCCCGTGACAACCCGGTCACAAGCAGGACGAGTACGAGACCCTTCACCAGTGCGGGAGGCTCAGGTAAGACTTAACCCGACTGTGACCACCCCTCCTACCCCTTTGCCCTGGGACACCCCTGCAGCCTTTGAGGCTGAGACCAAAACTGATCCGACGCTCCAAAAATATAGGGAACGGGCTGACACAGGGGCTGGGGGACCAGACCAGGAGACTTTTGCATGGGAACAGGGCCGACTGTACCGACACACAGAGAAAAAGGGCCACCGGAGGAGGCAGTTAGTAATACCCCACAAGTATAGGCGGGATATCCTCCGGGTGGGTCATGATATTCCCTTAGCCGGACACCTGGCAGTAACCCGTACCCTGCACCGTATTACCCATACCTTGTTCTGGCCAGGACTACATGCCGATGTAAGGTCCTATTGTAATACGTGTGAGGTATGCCAACGGGTAGGCAAACGAGGAGACCACCCCAAGGCACACCTCGTGAACATGCCCATTATCGATGAGCCGTTTAGCCGGGTAGCCATCGACTTAGTCGGGCCCCTAGCTACCCCTAGTCCCTCTGGCAAGAGATACATTCTTACCATAGTGGATTACGCTACCCGCTACCCAGAAGCTGTGGCTTTATCTAATATCCAGGCTGACACAGTGGCTAATGCCTTAGTACAGGTATTCTCTCAGGTAGGATTCCCTAGGGAGATCCTATCCGACAGAGGATCACAGTTTACGGCAGAGCTGACCCAGCAGCTATGGCACGTTTGTAAAATAAAGTCCCTGCTTAGCTCTCCGTACCACCCCCAGGGTTATGTGAGCAGTTCAACGGAACCCTCAAGCAGATGTTAAAAACCTTTACTCAGGAGTATAGGGACTGGGAACGTTTCCTACCGCACCTCTTGTTCGCTTACCGGGAAGTGCCCCAGGAAACCACCGGGTTCTCTCCCTTTGAGCTGTTATACGGTCGCAAGGTACGGGGTCCCCTGAACCTGATCCGTGAGCACTGGGAGGGAGAGACCGAGAACGCTGGGGTCCCCATCGTGCCTTACGTACTGGAACTCCGGGACCGAATGGAGCAATTGGCTAAGTCAGTCCAGGCCAATCTCCAGGCGGCCCAGGGGCGACTGAAAGTCTGGTACGACCGGGGGGCACGACGAAGAAGCTTCTGTCTCGGGCAGAAAGTCATGGTACTAAAACCAGTTAAGGCAGACAAGCTACAGGCAGCCTGACAGGGTCCCTACCAGATAGTGGAAAAGAGAGGGGGCAGCGGTGGGATCATCCTGGCATTCCTGAGAGAGATATATAAGATGGATGGAGAGCAACTACGATAATCTGAAGCGTACCACACTAAAGGATTTACTGGAGAGCCGTGGGGGAAACGCAAGTAACCGGCCGAGAAGGGAATTGATTGCCGACCTAAACGAGTTGGACCTAAGCTTCACTATGGCAGAACCGACGATAACCCCCAGCGATGAAAAGACGAGGATTGTCCGGGAAAGGCTGCCTCTATACGGGCCGAACACCTCCGTAGAGCTGGTGCAGCAACTGATGGCAGAAGCCGAGGCGGACATACAGCGGGCACGAGCCCACGAGCTGAACCTGGTGACCGCACAGCAAGGGGGCACCGCTAATTGCCACACGGGCTCCCCGGAGACTACAGAACAGCCGAAAATTCCGTTTGCGGCATTCAAGCCGTTCGCGGAAAACGAGATGGGGATAGATGAATTTTTGGCAGATTTCGAAAGACAGTGTGCTCTGCATCAGATCCCCGTTTCAGCGTGGCCACGTATCCTGGCAGGAAAGTTAACCGGGTGGGCCATGGAAGCTTTCAAGACACTCAGCGCCGAAGAGGTAGCCCAGCATCCCACAGTGAAGGAGACGCTACTAAAGCGGTATGCTGTGACCCCAGACACTTACAGAAGGCAGTTCCGCAACACAAAGAAAAAAGCGAATGACACACATGCCGAATGGGCACACCGCATGCGGAGAGCTGCTACCCACTGGATTACCGGGTGTCGGGCCATCACAGCCACGGAAATATTGGAACTTTTCTTGTTAGAACATTTTTATGAGGGTCTGGAACAAAAAGACCGGGAGTGGTTGAAGGACCAGCGTCCCGCTAACCTACATGAAGCAGCCCGGTTGGCAGACGAACACCGGGATGCGCAAGTACAGGAGTTCAGTACTGCCCGAACGGTAACTCACCCCGAAGCAAGAGAGGGGTACCGACCATCTCCACGAAGGGAGTTTCGCAACCCTGTACCCGCAGGTCCTACACGGTACACGGGGCCACCCAGCCACTACCCTCAGGAACGCTCCCGACCCACATGTTATAAGTGCAAGCAACCGGGGCACCTGATAGCGAGTTGCCCCCTCAACAACAATTACCCCGCACGGAACTATAACTCCTCTCCAACGGGAAACAATCGTCCCGCTCGAGCGTTTTGCCTGGAACAAGACAGCCCTTTAGAAGAGTACCTGGGACCCCTACATGAAGCTAATCCTGTGTATGCCGCCAGTGACAATAGACAACACCACCGGCAAGAGGTACTGCTAGAGGGTCGTCCCACACAGGGGTTAAGAGACACCGGGGCCACGATCACCTTAGTACAAAGCCGGTTAGTTCCCGAATACAAAGCTCTCCTGACACAGTGGCTGTCCGGGTGGCTGGCGGGGACATATACAAACTACCCACAGCAAAGGTACACTTGGATTGGGGTGCGGGAAAGGGACTTGTGAGGGTGGGAATTATGGATAATTTGCCAGCCGAAGTTTTGCTAGGAAACGACCTGGGACCTATGACTTCAGCTTATGCCCCTTCTTACAACGCTGAGGCACATCCCGTGACAACCCGGTCACAAGCAGGACGAGTACGAGACCCTTCACCAGTGCGGGAGGCTCAGGTAAGACTTAACCCGACTGTGACCCCCCCACCTACCCCTTTACCCTGGGACACACCTGCAGCCTTTGAGGCTGAGACCAAAACTGATCCGACGCTCCAAAAATATAGGGAACGGGCTGACACAGGGGCTGGGGGACCAGACCAGGAGACTTTTGCATGGGAACAGGGCCGACTGTACCGACACACAGAGAAAAAGGGCCACCGGAGGAGGCAGTTAGTAATACCCCACAAGTATAGGCGGGATATCCTCCGGGTGGGTCATGATATTCCCTTAGCCGGACACCTGGCAGTAACCCGTACCCTGCACCGTATTACCCATACCTTGTTCTGGCCAGGAGTACTGAAAGGGTTAATGTTGTAATGGACTCTAATCCCCTCGGTTCTCGATCCCTCGGTCACCATAATCAACGTTGATGGAGAATCATTTGTAAGCAATAACACACGGACAACAGCTTTACAAGACTCTCAAATGAGTGTATTCCAGAGCTGGCTTTTATACATAGTTTGCTTACATTAGCCATGGTATATGCCATTCATTACAGTACAGACTATAAGATTTATTACTTCCTTGTATTACGTTATTCTGACAATGGAAAGATAAGCTTTTGCACACGTCTGGAAAAGAATATCCTTAAAATCGGAATGGGCAAGACATCCTGAAATTTAGCATTGTCTTACATCCTATAGAAGAAATACCTTAGTCTGTCACAGTCAGCATATTATGTACAATATCCCTTCAGTCAGCAATAATCATGTTATAAACCTTATAAAAGCATAAAATACATATAAACAAGTTAACTATTTAATATTCTTACATTCCCCTCTTTGAGCAATAAAACAATTGCTCATCTTATCGATAAAATCTTACCAGGACAGAGAATCTTCCACATGGTATTTTCAGGGGTGCTAGTCACTCCCTGCGGGACTTTCATTAATTTCTTCACCTCGATTCCCATGTGGTAATTCCTAAGGCCCAGTTTAAAGATGGGTTGATACCCTCCAGTGGCAGAGAGGAGAATTTCTAATTGTTTCTGTTCTGCATTATGGATTCATTTCTGTACTCTCTTCCTCAATGTACAAGTAAGGTGACAGTTATATAAAACCATACACAATAAAATCAGGACTATAATAACAAAAGGATAGAAGAATGATTTCATTATCTGAGATCCAGTAGGGGACCAACCAGTGAAGCATCGTACCAATGATGGGCTAAATCATTCTGAATTTGTGAACTCACCTTAAGGAGTTCTCCTTTTAGGATATGTGTGGCTACCTGTGTGTGTTATCTTTGGGAAAAATATAGTCCCCTGTGTATGTGGGTGCCCACCAGGTTAAATTCTTAGCAAAAAGATCATAAACTGGTACTGGTAATGTGTTAAATTGACAAGCTAATTTAACATCCTTTGATGATGTATGATATAGTGTAAAATAGCATGAGCATGAAAAAATGTGAAGCATTACCAGTTAACCATCTATTGCATTTAGTGGATTGGGGTTTTAGAAGTAACCATTCATTATCTGTGAGGTTAAGCATCCCTCTAATCTTCTCTAGTTTAGGAATCATTAGTGTGTTTTCTAATGCCAATCCTTGTTGTATCCATAAATACCTGATGGCACAAGTACTCCAGTTACTTAGACCTGTAGTGAATTTCATAGTTGCAACAGTTAAATTATCTAAATAATTATACATTGATTTATCTAAATCCAATCCTCTAACCTGTGATTTAACAACAATTGGAGCCCAGTTTGCAGTAGCATGGAAACCAGTCCCTATATGCATACTGGCTGTATTTAACTTATTCTTGAGGGTCTCCATATCTATAACTATTTAGTATACCCATAGTGGTTCCAGCACCTCCTAACAGTGTGTCATACCATTCCCTTTTCTGCCTTTGTTTGTTGTATTACATAATGTTACAACAAGAGTAGTGACTTTTAATGACACATGTACAGCTTGTAAGAAGGCAGTTGTATTAACACATGTGGACGGAATAGGTGTGTGTGTGTGTCGTGTTTGACTTTTGGTTCTATGATAGTGGATGAAGGACAGTAATAAGGTGTAAAAATATAAGGTAGTGTATAGTTCTCAATTGTAGTGTTGTTCATAATGACTAACATTTGTCCCCTTCTCCAATTAATGATACCAGTTATATAATCATTATTAAAAGTAATAAGGCCTGTCTATTTACATTGATATGCAACCTTAACTGTGCACATTTCTGCGTTATAAGATCTAACAATTTTCTGTGAACCTTCAAACAAACATAATGCATCGGTTTCATTAGCTGTAGACACATTTCATATGGGTAACTGGTACTTATAAGGGTTACTATTTGTCCAATTCATCCAAATGCGTTCAGTGAATGAATGATTGCATATTGCATGCTGATAGAAAGGTGGTGGAGAAAGGTTCTTGAGGGGGCGTGTGTGACGAATGCTAGATGAGGGCTAAGGCCTAATTGGGCTGGGGGTATTGAAGAATTGTTCATCATGTCAGAGTCTTTTTTCCAGAACTTGCCATTGACTTGTACTCATAATGGCATTCAAGGAACAATATCAGAGGGAGTATAACAACTCCAGAAAGCATAGCGCACAACATAATCTTGGTCTCAGGTACGTATGATCCTCTCAATCTACGATACGGTGTGAAAGCCATGATGCTTCGCTGAGGAGAAATTCTTCTGTTTCCGAGCGAGGAGTGGTGTTGTCTTCCTTGGTTCCCCTCTTTGGACACAGCTTCACTCGGGATGCGTGAATCCAGATGTCGTGGGAATCTGTGAGGACAGCGGTTCTGGGTACAGCAATCACAGTAGCAGGTGGTCCAAAAGGGTATCCTCCTTTCTTGGTCCTGTTCAGCTGACGGATATACACCTTGTCACCGGGCTGGTATGAATGAGTAGGTTCCTGTGAAGGTAAGGGAAAACTGCGAAGAAACATTGTCATACATACCATTCGGTTTTATCAACAATTCCTGTACATATTGTTCTTGTATTAGCTGTAAATCCACAGACATTATAACAAGCGGTTCCCTGGCCCAGGGTGTGGGAAAAGGTCATCCCATCAAAAATCTCAGATGGAGATAATTTAGTCACCTTGTGGGGATTCATTCTTATCTCAGCTAAAATAGCTGGTAGATATCTAGTCCAATTTACCCATGTTCCTGGGTAAATTCTGGGCTTTTCCTTAATAGTCCTATTCATCCTTTCAACTACCCCTGTATTCTGTGGATGATAGGGTATATGAAACTGCCAGGTAACTTGCAAGAATTTAGCAAGTTCCTGGGCAACCCCACTTGCAAAAACCGGGCCATTATCAGAGCCAATCTGCAGAGGGCAGCAATACCGGGGAATAATTTCAGTAACAATAATCTTCACTAGCATCTTCCCTAGATGTCACAAAGGCATCATGCCATCTTACTAAACTGATTAACTATGACCAGTAAGTATTGCTGTTTCTTACCAATTTTGGATACATGAATAAAATCAATCTGTAAGTGTGTAAAAAGAGCAGCGTTCACACGATCTTACAAAAGACTGTACATGCTGCCTGAGATTCCTAATATAAAATGAATTCATGAGGAATTGAATGGTGCTTGCTATGTGCCTGACTGATGAAAATAAAGCAGCTTGCTTCAAGTATGCCTATTCTTCAAGTATGCCTATTCTCCCCTCTTTAGAGAACAGATCATTTTGATCTTTCTCTAAACCTTGTTTAATCCAAAAACAGATTCTGGGTATTAAAAAAAGAATCTCATAACCACTGAAGCGCTGGGCTGTCATGTGTTGTGTGGTGAGATTTGTCATCAGCTGAGTGACCTGGTGACTGGCATGAAGTATTGTAGGATGTCCTAGTGTGATAGTAGTAGCAGTTTCAACAGCCATTGCACATGCTATCAATGCTCTGAGACACGCCGGCATACCCTGTACCGGAGCTCGAACTACTTTGGAAAAGAATGCTATGGGATGCATACCGCCTCCTTGCTCTTGTGCACAGACTGCGGCCATGGTTTTACAATTGTCCCAAGCATACAAATGAAATGGTTTACAATACACAGGTAGTCCTAAAGCCTGGGCTTGCACAATAACAACTGTAAGGGCAATATATGCAGCTAGCATGTCTGGTGACCAGCAGACATTTTCAGGGCTGTCAGAACGTACAGCCTCCCTTAGGATTGAGTCATAATGGGAGCATTCAGGGATCCATTGGCGGCAGTAATTAATCATGCCGAGGAAGGTGAGCAACTCCTTCCGAGTAGTGGGTGTAGGAATCCTCTGAATGACCTCAATACGTTTTGGACTCAATTGTCTGCTGCCTAAAGCCAGAACAAAACCTAAGTATTCAACCTTTGATTTACACAATTGCATTTTGTGTTTAACAACCTTGTGACCTATAGTTGCTGACAGTATCCACAGTGCTTGCCTCAGAGCTAGGGCTACATAACAACAAATCATCAACATTTTGCAAAAAGGACGGAACCATGACCGGTGGTCCATGTTTTTTAGAGTATGTTGGAGTACCAACGAATAAACAGCTGGGGAATCCACATAGCCTTGGGTAAGCGTGTCCAGGTAAACTGACAGCCTTCAAAAAGTAAAAACCATAAGTAGCTGTGTCTCTTGATCAATAGGTATAGAAAAAATGCATTACTTAAATCAATGACAGTGAAGCAAGTGGCATCATGTGGAATGGCTGTAATGAGGGATGTCACATCAGGGACAATGGGTGAAATGGGCACAATTAAACTATTCAGGGCTCTAAAGTCCTGAACTAAGCGATATGCTGGCCAGTGGTGTTGGGAGTGGGTCTGGTGTTGTTCTTGCCTACCGGGCATATTTTGAGAATTGTGGGGTTGGTGGGGTGTGTGGGGTTTCCTGGGGTGTGGACACTCATTCCTCCAGTGGCCACAGTTGAAACAAGTGTTCCTGTCTATTCCTCCTTGGTTACCCCTGCCCCTATAACCCTGATTTCCCTGTCTCCATCCCCTTGCCCCTCTTTGACCACCCCTTCCACCGGCTTTATGTGCTCCATCCCATCCTCGCTCTCAGCCTGTGTAGGTGGCAATCCCTGAGCATAATAAGCAACCTTACTTTCCTAAATCTTTTCTTAATTCAAAATGTGAAGAAATGACTCCGTTCATCAGGATTTCTACCTTTGTTGCACAAGTTAATTCACCCAATTCAGCTGGAATTCGGCATATAGCTATAATTTCTACCATTCGAATGGATTCAGGCGAATTCCCCGTGTAAACTCTAGGTGGCCGCCATTTCGGCACTTTACACGTGGTCGCGGCCATTTTACGTGCGAACAGCGGTGTTTGCCCGTCAAACGCGTGGAACTAAAATCGGATACACAAACAGGCGAACACCGCTGAGACCTCCATACATCCAGAACTTCGCACGGAAAAAACCGAATGACCGGCCGTTCGGTAGTTACATGCAACTTCGTATGGGGATTTCAACGACCACGAAGATGCGAACGGATGGCAGGACTTTCGTCTTTTTTTATTCGCCTAAACGGAGACCGACCGCAGGGCCAAAACTTATGGAACTATTTTCGGCTAGATGATCCGTGCGGTCGGTCAAAACTTTAGTGCTCCATAACTCCCGAACCATTCATCCGAATGGACTGATTTTTTGACATATTGTCCCCACAAGTGAGCACTATCCAGCGGTGCCCAATTTAAAGGTGTACCCCCTGTTTTTGGGGTACATCCAGAACTGGGGTAAAATAGTGCACGTTTTAATGAAGTTAACTGTTTATCAGAGGGGAGGGAGGTAGGGGCTGTAACCTGTACCTGATTGGTGATTTAATGCCTCCCCCTGGGTGTGTATTTTTTGTCTGTAACCCTAATAAAAAGCAGGCTGGAGATTCCAGACCTCAGATCTACTTGTATCCTGATTCTGGACTCTGACTGTTATTTGGGAATTCGTATGCTTTACCAAGGGGATTATCTTGGGAAGCTGTTATATTTCTTATGGACTTCATTGTTTAGAACTACCTTAGACGCTGGCATTGCAGGAGGAATTATCAAAGCGGTTCAGCTATACTTGATTTCCTTACAACTGGTGGCAGCGGTGGGATTCGAATCCCAAATGGACATTTCAAAACAAGCAAAGGAATGAATGGCTCAGCAGTACCAGCTACTTAAAAGAACCACGCTAAAGGACTTACTGGAAGCTCGAGGCAGAGTGGCAAGTAACAAAACAAAAGCCACGTTAATTGCGGAGTTAATGCAGAGCGATAATACCAGTAATACAGAGATGGATCAAGAGGAAGAAACCGTGATGCAAAAGGACATCCGATGGACACTCAGTTTATTGGGACCCAATCCATCCTCAGAGGCGATACTGCAGGTCGTAGCACAAGCCAGACAAGCGCAAAAAGAGCGAGATGACCGGGACAGATCGTCACAGGGGGATTTGCTACACTCCCCGAGAAGTATTGGGGAAATACCAAAGAAGGTAAATTATGCAGCGTTTAAATCATTTGTTGACAATGAAATGGAAATTGACAGTTACTTGCAAGACTTTGAACGTCAGTGTGCACTGGAGGGATTAGACTCCACCAAATGGGCTGCAGTCGTCAGCAGTAAATTGTCAGGTAGAGCAGCCGAGGCGCTGCGAGCAGTACCTGAGGGGGACATACATAATTATGAGAAAATAAAAGACATTTTGTTGGCCAGATATGCGGTAACTCCGGAGGCATACCGGAAAAAGTTTAGAGACCTGAGAAAGACTGGGAGAGATTCCCATACGGAATGGGCTTTTCGCCTGCAGCGGGCAGCCCGCAATTGGATGAAGGGCTGCCAGGCAACCACCCTAGAAGAAGCTTTGCAACTAGTGATACTGGAGCAATTTTTTAATCATACTGCAGAGGACATAAAAGACTGGGTAAAAGATAGGAAACCAAAAACCGTGGAGGAGGCCGCTAGGCTAGCGGACGAGTACCAGGATAACAGGAGGAAGGAGCCAGGGGCGAGCAGACCACCATTTAAGCCTCAGTACACAGCTCCAACAAACCCGGCTCCACCTAGACCTGCCATAGGTAACCCCCCACCGAACCCAGCAAACACACCTCGACCTCCTGCAGTGTGTCACTACTGCAAGCAACCAGGACATTACAAGCATCAGTGCCCTCGCTTAAACCGGGGAAGCTGGGAACGGCCAGCCCCACAACAACCCAGGGCAGCTGCTCACTGTGTGCAACAGGAACACACAGGCCCTGCCCTTAACCACGAAGAACAGTGGAGCGTATTACATGAGGTCAATCCAGTACAAGCTGGGGGGGACAACCGGGACCACCACCGCCAATGGATTACCGTCGATGGCGTGGGGGCCCGGGCGCTGAGAGACTCTGGGGCTACTTTGACTGTGGTACAGCCCCACACGGTCAGAGCACAAGCTCGCACCGGACGCACAGTCGCTGTAAGGGTGGCTGGGGGCGCTATTCACAAACTGCCCACCGCTAATATGTTTGTTGATTGGGGTTCCGGGTCTAAACAACTGGAGGTGGGGATTATGCAAGAACTGCCCGCCGAGGTTTTGTTGGGAAATGATGTGGGATGCCTAACCTCTCAACTAGCCCGAGACCCCCCTGCCGAGGCCTACCCGGTCACCACCCGAGCTCAAGCCAGACTGGAAGCTCCGCTGCACTCTGAGGAGAACCAGGTAAGAGTCGAAATACCCCCTTTACCCGATCCCCCCGTACCCTTCTGGGATACCCCCCAGGGTTTGAACAGGAACAGCGTACTGACCCCACATTAGAAGGCTATAGGAAGGCCGCGGCCGCTACCCCCGAGAACAACCCGCACGAAAAATTTGAGTGGTATAAGGGGTTGCTATATAGGGTAACCGAGGGGGTGGGACAGGGGGCTACCCAGGTCATAAAAAGACAGTTAGTTGTGCCCCGTAAATTTCGGGCTGAGTTGTTAAAACTCAGTCATGACATTCCCCTAGCAGGACATTTAGGGGTCAAAAAGACCAGAGACAGGTTAACTCAAACCTTCTTCTGGCCCAGAGCTACCCAGGACCTAAAGTACTATTGTAGGACATGTGATGTATGCCAAAGGGTAGGAAAAAGGGGAGACCTTCGGAAGGCTAAGCTTCACCCCCTACCCATCATCGAACAGCCCTTCCACCGAGTAGCGGTGGATTTAATAGGTCCCCTCAGTCGCCCCAGTCCGTCGGGCAAAAAGTTTATCCTAACGGTGGTTGACTACGCCACTAGATACCCGGAGGCAGTCGCCCTCACCAATATAGAGGCCGAGACCGTGGCAGAGGCCCTTATTCAGATATTCACCCGAGTAGGTTTCCCGCAGGAGATACTCTCCGATCGGGGGACGCAGTTCACAGCCACCCTGACGCAACAACTGTGGCAGAGCTGTGGAGTGCAGCCCCTGTTCAGCGCCCCGTATCATCCCCAGACTAACGGGCTCTGTGAACGTTTCAATGGCACTCTAAAACAGATGCTAAAAACTTTTACAGAGTCCCACAAGAATTGGGAAAAATTCCTTCCCCACCTTCTGTTTGCCTACCGTGAGGTGCCCCAGGCCTCCACTGGGTTTCCCCCTTCGAACTCCTGTACGGGAGAAAAGTTCGGGGCCCACTGGAGCTCGTACGGGAACACTGGGAGGGCAATACAGATGAGGGGGGAGTCCCTATCGTCCAGTATGTCCTGGAGTTCCGGGACCGTCTGCGGGCCCTCACCGAATCGGTTCGGGAGAACCTGCAGGCGGCCCAGGAGGACCAGAAAAAGTGGTACGATAGGAGGGCCCAGGATAGAGTGCTGGACTTAGGGCAGAAGGTACTGGCTCTGAGGCCCGTTAAAAAGGACAAGCTGCAAGCAGCCTGGCAGGGACCCTTTAAGGTAGTGGAACAGGTTAGCGAGACTACCTACATCGTGAGCAAATGCTCAGATGAAAGGCTGACCAAAGCCTTCCATGTGAACATGCTCAAACCATATTTTGAAAGGACAGAGGAGGTGGGCGCCGTGTGCGCCCCCGCCACAGAGGATAGTGAAGGGCTACCCCTCCCTGACTTACTGGATACCACCCCCTGTACTATTGACCAAGTAAGCTTGGGGCAAAATTTAGACCACCTGGAGAAAGGCGAGGCTACTCAACTGCTGCAGGGATACCGAGAGATGTTTTCCGCTACCCCCGGCTATACCTCCGCTGCGGTCCACCGTGTGGAAACCCAGGGAGAGACGCCCCTACGGCAACAGCCATATCGGATCCCGGAAGCAGTACGTGAGAGTATGCTCACCGAGTTAAGGGATATGTTAAGGCTAGGGGTAATAGAACCCTCCCAAAGTCCTTGGGCCTCCCCGGTGGTACTAGTACCGAAGCGCGACGGCACTACGCGCTTCTGTGTAGATTACCGGAGGCTTAACGACCGTACCATAACCGATGCCTACCCCATGCCTAGAATAGATGAGCTCTTAGATCGTATGGCGGGGGGGAACTACTTGACTACCCTGGACCTGTGCAAGGGTTATTGGCAGATCCCCCTGGAGCCTGCGGCCATCCCCAAGTCGGCGTTCGTCACCCCGTTTGGGCTATACCAATTCAAGGTTATGCCCTTTGGGATGAAGAACGCCCCGGCTACGTTTCAGCGGATGGCGGATAGGCTCCTGGAGGGATTGCAGGACTTCGCATGTGCGTATCTAGATGATATTGCCATCTATAGCCGCACATGGGGAGACCATCTGGGTCATGTGTCCAGGGTACTCGAACGAATCCACCTCGCCGGGCTCACTTTAAAACCCGACAAATGTCACGTAGGCCTAGCCGAGGTCCAGTATCTGGGTCACCGGGTCGGCTCCGGTAGACAACGCCCAGAGCCCGCTAAGGTAGAGGCCATAGCTAACTGGCCCCAACCCCGGACCAAAACCCAGGTACTGGCTTTCTTAGGGACGGCCGGGTATTACAGGAAGTTCGTCCCAGAATATAGCGCCCTGGCCAAGCCCCTCACGGACCTTACCAAAAAGGCCCTTCCCAAACAGG